TATTTCATCTGTTCCTCCCGTACTTCTGGGAGAGGATTAGCGACAGAGCAGCTGTATGGGGAAGGTGACGAGAATGGCTTGGTACCAGAATTACTTCCTCTGGGACATGGGCGTGGCCAGGGGGAGCCCCCTTCCTGCAGAGCAACGTCGGCTGTTCCTGCCGCGCGGGTCAACGCCAGTCCCCATGGTCACGTTTGTCTCTCTCTGGCGAAAGGTAGATCAAGAAAGTCTGCTCCCCTTCTGCTTCTTAATTTCATTACTACTAAATAAGGGAGTCTTTTTTCTTTGGAAGAAAATCATGTTCACCTTTCAAGTAACTCACTTGGTAGGTACATTCAAGTGTAAGATTTCAGACTCTGCCGTCAGAGTGTGAAGTCTTGTCATGATTGTTTATAAGGATCCTGGGTCGGTTCTTCATTTTCCTCTTTCTCGGTCTCCACGTGGCCCACCCTGGCATTCCGTGGTGAGGGGGATGCAGAGTCAGCAGACAGGGGGCAGTTTTGGGGAGAAAGGAAAGTCAGGGGTAGCATTTAGACGTTGATCCGGGTCCCCGACACTGATGCGAGCAAGCGTCCACGGTCCACAGTGACAGACGCTAATGGGAGGTGCTGTCTGCCCGCTGCGCCCTCTCTGGTGGGTGCTGGTGCGCCCGACCCGCCCTGCGTGCCCTCTGCCTGTCCCTGCCCAGCAGCCGAGGCGGATGCGTGCCACCTGCTGTCCTGCCAGGCTTGGTGCCCCCCTGACCTGGTTGTGCGTGCATCGTGCTCCTGCGCCCCGGCGGATCCCACACTCTTCTCTACGGGAGGAGGGGGGATCTGGGGAGGAACTCCTCCATTGCAACGTGTCACCAGCGTGCAGCCTCGGACTGCGAGGCCGTGGGTGTCTGCCAGTCCTAATCGCATGCAGGTGCGCAGCCCTTCGGCAGTGCCAGCAAGAGGAGGCCCAGCTGTGGTGTGGAGCCGGCGCAGGCTGGACTTGAAGAGATGGGATTCTGGTCCCTCTGTGAGGAGGGAGGCCCTGCAGGTGCACGGGCACCCCTGGCTGTAATGGACGCCCAGTCACCGGGTCACATTCCCATCCCGGGGAAGAGGAATTTTCCCATAGACTTACCCAGCAAGGAAGTCTGTCCCAACGTAGGGAGGTCAGCACAGGCCCCTTTGCCAGAATGTCTGAGGAATGCAATCCAAGATGAAAACGCTCTGCTCTTAAAGCCCCGGCTCATGTATTGTGGCTGTAATTCCCACTTGGGGTGCTGCATCGGGTTAGGGCTCAACAAATACTAACTGCATATTTGGTAGTTGCTAAGACTCAAACTCCAGAGGCTTTCTGACCGTGGAAGAATGGAAGTAACCACTGCAGTTGGAGGGGACAAGAATGGCCACGAAGTGCGGGGGCCTTGCTTTCTGTGGTTCCGCAGTGCCAGAAAGCCACCATTCCATGTCCCCAAGTCTAACTGCCCCGGCTGTGCCCGGCTCAGCTGGGGAAAGGCTTCAGGGATAAAAGAGCTAGTCCACCTCCCATTTCCATTTACACATTCAGTCGTGAGGGACGCAGAGTCCGAGATGTGATTCCCTGAGAGCCTGACCAACTGAGAGAATTGTGTTTCTTGAGAGGTTGACTATCAGGTATGGTAGAAACTTGTATTGAGTTAGGTAAAGCTTGTTGAATATTCCGTGCGGCGGGCCCTATTCTGTAAGCCCTGAGAACACGGAGATGACAAGACGCAAGTTCCATGTCCTAGGACTCTCCTTTTAAGGGCAGAAAGGAGTTTGGCGGTGGGGGTGGGAGGGGCAGATTGGAAAAATAGAATTCCAGCAGTATCTGGTAAGTACTCCAGTAGAGACAAGGCCAGGGCACCCTGAGGGCTCAGAGGGAGGGAGCCACGCTAGGAGGCAGGAGCTGTTGGCCCCTGGGGCCGTGTCTGGGGGCGGGGGAGGGTAGGGGCACGGGCACGCTCTGATCTGGAGCTGTGTATGCCTAAGGTTTCAGAGCACATGTGTGGTCGGAGAGCTCAGCACCTGGAGGCCGAGGCAGCTGCGGCGGAGCGCAGAGGGTCACAATGAGGCTCCGCGGCCTCTGCTTTGACTCCTGCAGGCAGGCCTTCCTCCTTGCGATCCGCTGCCTGACGCACCGCGCCCCCCATGCTCCCCTCCCTGTTCTCTCCCTCATTCTTCTAAAACTATTCCCTTGTTACCAACTACCTACTCTACCCTGGGCCTGCTAACCGGGCCCTCATTTGCCCTTCCCTCGACTCCCTCGTCCAGACTTCCGCTCTTGCTGGGCGGCCCACGGTTGCCTCCAGGAGGCAGCATGGTGCCGAGGAAAGGGGAGGAAGCCTTGACTCTTGAGTAGAGGCTGCCTTTGAATTCCCGCGGCCTCTCAGTAGCTGTGAGATCTTGAGCCAGTCACTTACCTGTCCCCTCTGTGACGGTCTGTACTGAGTACGGCCCTAGCCTATGGCCTACGGGACCACAAGGCTTAACTGAGACACTGAAAGTGCGGGGTGGGGGTGGGGGAGGTGGGCAGCAGCTTCTTTCTGTGGGCTCTCTTCTCTCTCCCACATCACCCAAGCTCTCCCTGTCTTTCTGGCACTAGGAGCAGCCGCCTCCCCTCTCCCTCTAGGGCTTTCCTCTTCACAGGACTGCAGCAAACCAGAGCCTTCAGTCTGGTGGAAGAGGCCAGACCCGTGTCCCACAGTGGCTCCCCCCGTGGACCGGAGCCTTCACTCGCGGGAATCGCAGCCCCTTTGGAAAGGGACTCCTGCAGGACAGCTTCCGCTTTAAGGCCTTGGAGAGAGATCTGTTCACAGGACACACTTAGTTCCAGCCACTGACGCCTCTTTAAACCCCACCTCCCATGGGACGGAGCAGCCCAAGGATGTCCTCTTCTGTCCTGCAAGAGAAGGCCAGGACAAAGATGATGTCTCAGGTTAAGAAATGTTTTGCTTCCTGCACCTTTTCTAAATCCACCATAAGGTCCTCAAGGTGATGTTCCAACATCCTGCGCTGCATGTGGGAGGCCTGCATGGCCTGGGGCCAGAAAGCTGAGCCAGGTGAGCAACTGTTTCC